TTCCTTCCTTCCTTCCTTCCTTCCTTCCTTCCTTCCTTCCTTCCTTCCTTCCTTCCTTTCTTGTCTGATAAAGGATTTCATTCAAAATATTTGAAAGATAGGTAGTAAGAAAAAAACCAGCACATTAGCACAGTAAATTAAAAAAATACCACTTTTGTTGATTGGGGTTTTGCATGGATTTGCCAGGACTGACATTTCTGCCTAGGGTTGCAACTGGCACCTCAAATGCAGTGGTTGTTCCCACCACCCTGTTGTCTGTTACACGAATACTGTACTTAATGTGCTGACACACTTTCCCCATGTGTGCTAGTGAGAGAAAGGTCTTCAACCCTATTTAGAATTGAAATCTTATCTAATGAGGCATTATTATCTGTTAGAGTTCATATTCTAACAGAGATTTAAACATTTATCTTGGATTGGGATGATGGCTCAGTGGATTCGAAGGTCTAAGATATGGTCCCTAGCAACTATATAACTTAAGCACACCTGTATCCACAGCGCATAGGAGCTGGAGATAAGAGATGGCTGGGGTGTGCTGGTACTGGCTGAGCTCCAGTTTCAGTCGGAGACCTTGTCTCAAGGCAATGAGGAAGAGTGACAGAGCAAGGTACCTGACATCCTCCACTGGCCAAATGTGTCTGGGCAGACACGCACATGCACACACCCACACTTCCACACTAACAAAAGCAACCTCACTTAAATTAAGACTGGGATAATTTGCTTTGTACTCATTTTCTCAATTATATTAAAATTTTATTTGTTTTATAAAGGTTAATTTTATTAAAATAATTTGAAAAAATTGTCTGTCTATCTATCTATCTATCTATCTATCTATCTATCTATCTATCTATCTATTCATCTATTATCATCATCTATCTGTCTAATGTCACCATAGAGCCCAGGCTGGTCTTGAATTCACTATGTGAAACAAGCTAGCCTGCAGCTTGGAGCAATCCTCCTGTTTCAGTTTCTCAAGCACTGAAATTACAGACATAAACTACCACACTTGGTTAACAAGTTGTTCTTTTCCTCCTGCAACAACCCAGTTTCCACACTCCTTCAAGCATCACGCTAAGTGTGATGCTACTGTGTCAGTGACCTGAATATGATGAATGACATTTTCTTTACCTGTGATATGACAGGCTGATGTTATACATATTGTCTAACATGATTTGCTTAACAATTTACACAGAGTACCCCCCCCTAAATCATAATGACTAAATATCCCTTTAAGTAAGGTCTTAGTTTCTGGGGAAATGGAAATTAAACTTTTTGTTTCATTAACATTTCTGGTGCTGGGCAAAGTGCACGATTTTAATTCTAGCGTTTGAAGGCTGAGGCAGGATGGAAACTTCGTGGGGTCCAGCCTGGGTTGCATAATGATGCCCTGTCTCAAAACAAAGCAATGAAACAGTCTGTGCGGGGTGTTTTCTTTCCTCTTTCTACTTTCTTGTTCTGTTATTTCCTTGTGAACTCTTGATTCTAATTCTTAGAATCTTTTTAGTTTTAGATTTATCCTAATACACGGACCAGAGCGTCTTCATTTTAGGCTAAAAATAGCCTGATCTTAAAGATATCCTTCAGTCTTTCCTTAAGAACTCCCTGTTAGCCATGATACTCTTGATCTCCCTAATTGTAGGTCACCTCAGCATAACACACAGGTAGATACAGACACACATGCGTATGTACACATACATACTATGCTATTTAATAAATAAAACCACAGGTCTGAAAAGAAGGCTCAGTTGGAAAAGACACCTTTTGCCAAGACGGATGACCTGAGTTTATTCCCAGGCTCCATTTGGTAGGTGGACAGAATCAGCTTCAGAAAGCTGTCCTCTGTCCTCCACATGTGGGCTGTGGCTCATGCTCACTCACCCACATAATACATAAATGTAACAAAAAATTTAAAAATCACAATCTACATACCCCCTGAATCTGTGCTAAATCCACGGCTAATGTTGTGGTCAAGGCTCCGTGCTGTTTTCACGATCACACCAGGCCATATCCTAGAGAGAGAGGAATTGACGCATGCTTAGAAAACCATTATTCTCAGATCTGTGATTTTTCTGTCCCATTGGAAAGAACATAGCTGCCTCTTACTTTTCTGTAGGCACCACGGATCTACTGACTTCTGCTTCTTGTACAGAAAGCTTTAGTTTTGTATAGAGTGAAGAAGGTAAGACTGAATCATGGGATACATTACCATATTACAATATGTTGATTGTAGAATTACAGATGTAGGACGATTACTGTTAGAAATGGCTATTTGCCACTATAGAGATCGGCAGTTTTACTCCACAAGAACTTTGTGAGGAACAGAATAGTCACTGATTTAGGTTTTTGGTGTTGGGGATCATATGCTCAATGCATGTTACACACCCGTTAGCAATGAGCCATATATTTACAACATTCTATTTGTGTAATAATGATCAGTACAACTTAGAAACATTTTCAAATATTTTCCCCTAAACTGATCGGTTATTAAACCAACACCAACACCAACACCAACACCAACACCAACACCAACTATGTCTTTTTCCTTTAGGACGGAGGTACGATCCTACTGGGCACGTTCCATCACTCCCTCAGTTTGGTAAGCCTTAGCTACTGTATAACAAGAATGGGAAGGCTGAAAAACTGCTGCCTAGAAGCATAGAGTCTAAAAAAGACAGGTAAGAAACACAGGCAATCAAAGCACAGGGTAAGAATTGGTTTTATCTCAGCAACAAATAGAGAGAGCGCTTCCAAGTACTTCTCAACCCGAAGAAATGTTTCCTTTCATTAAGTGTTGCCTCATGCTGACTCAGACAACCTTATGAATTAAAGACCAGTGGAGAAGCTGACAAATATGCTTCCTTAGAAAGGAAAAGAAAGGTAAAGAAAGAAAGAAAAAACTTTTGGTTTTATACAACCCAACCAGGGCTCTGAGGCTCAGGTTACCCAGTCCTGTCAAGGAAACCAAAATAAAAGAAAAGCAGGCTGTGCCGGAATCGTGCAGTGTGCTAGAAGAATGATCTGGGGAGAAGTGCGTCAAGACTATGTGGGTGTGACTGTGCACAGAACTGTGTTCTGGAGCCACTGCCACGGAAGATTTGCCCAAAGGGTCTCAGGTGACTTTGGTGACCATCGTCTGTGAGGGAAGAAGCCCAGCAAGAGGTAAACTCCCATGCAGGACAGCTGCAGTGCAGGAACAGCATGGGGACCGAAAGTCAAGCACTGCCAGTCGAGATAACGGGCTCTCAAATGAACTCAAATGAAGAGATTTCATCTACTTCCTAGCTGTTTCTAGACTTCAACATGACATGGAATACATGAGGAAATTTAGGTATTATATAAAAAATAAAGAAAATTAGTATTGAATCTTATGTTCCAGACTCTGTAGTAACTTACTATACCACAGAATTAACAGTCTCAGCTACTTGTCCAATCAACAGTATGTCCAAACTACTTTTCTGCATGTAAATAATTGTCTTCTTGTGTATGCAATCTACACCAAAATATTTAGCAGATTTTCTGAAATTTAGCTGGCATACTTTCTGTCCTCTCAGAGATAAAATAAGTATAAATAGAGGCTATCAGGAATTTTGACATGCATTTTCCTATTAACAATATTACTGAAATAAGAATACGATCACACTGCAAGGAGAGTGTGGCATGTATTCTTTTCTGTAGTTATTTCAGCTGCTGTGTAGTAATATTTTGTTTGTGTTCTAACAAAGAAAGCTTGCCTGAAGACCAGAATGCAGAGCTAAACCACTAGAGGCCAGGCAGTGGTGGCTCACACCTTTAATCTCAGGATTCAGGGCACAGACAGATCTATGTTTGTTCAAGGCTACCCTGGCCTACACAAAATTGATCCAGTCTTAAAGAGAAACAGATCTCACACAAACATGATCCCAGCACTAAGGAATACATGCCTTTAATCCTAGTACTAAGAAGGTGGAGACAGGAGTGATATGACTGAGCGGAGGGAGGAATGTGCGCTGGGAAGAGACAGGAGCTCAATGCAGTCTGAGGAGCAATGCAGTCTAGGCAGTAAGTCTGAGGAGTCAGTCTGAGGACAGATCGCCCCTTTGGCCTGATGATTTGTAGAAGTAAGAACTCTCTAGAGACTGACCTCTCTCTTTCTCTGATCTTCAGCATTAACCCCTATATCTGGCTCTGGGTTTTTATTACTATTACAAATTAGAATTTGTACTACACAGCCACAGGAGGCACTGTGTAATCCACATTTCGTAGATTGGAAAATGGATATAATGAGAGATGGAAGGGCTAGGCTAAGGCACACCGCTGGCCAGTGCCAGGGCTAGGTTTTGAGCGTCAGTTCTTAAGAAGCTGTGTTGCTTTGTTCTGCCTCTCATCTGAAACATTCTTGGTTGTGTTTTATTTCTTGCTTCTTAAGCTTTGGAATTTGTTACCACACCTTTTGGAAGAAGCTTTAGGCCTTTTGGAGATGTCTAAGTGAGTGTTTTCAATGCTATTAGCTGATGGCTGAAAGGCTCATTTTTACCAAGAATCCCTAAACAATCCAATTTACAAAAGAAATAAAAAACCCAAAAAATAAAAAAACAAAGCAACCCCCCAAACAACAACAAAAAAACCCACAAAACTTCAAACCCCCACAGCTCTGTAGATCAATTACTGACCGCTGAAAAACAGAGGGAACAATATTTTCTATCAGGGAGTTAGGAACAATCAGAATAATTCTTCAGCTGAACGGCTCTTGAGTGATCACATAAAAGGTAGATTGTATACCTACAGAAAGCCACGCCCGACTCTATTAACACGTCTACTTCAGTGAGATTCCAAAATGGTCGTAAAAAGGAGTTGCAAGCCTCAGCATGCTTTGTCAGGCTTCAAAGTTCTGTCTTAGCACAGAAACCCAAGCAATGCAAGTTAGGTAAAATCAGCAATGCCATGAAGGCACTTACAAAGAAAAGGTAAAAATGCTGTGCCTATACCAGTTCCTCATCACAAAAAGCAAATACAAGAAGCAAGAAGAATGTTGAAGGACATTATGAAAAAGAGAAAACATGGTGAGAGAGAGGGGAGTGAGTGACGTTGGCTAAGCAGCACATGGCTTCTTTGTCCTCTTGGTGTGCTTTCAAAGGGCAGCACTGACGGGTTGTGGCCCAGCAAGTCCTGGTGAAGAGGACTGCGCTGCTGGTGGCCTTCGCATAGTTAACACTAAAGGGTCCACACTGCTTCATGCCAGACCACCAGAAGGTTTGACAGCGTTCTCCAAGTTAAGGCGCTTCAGGATCTGACGTTCTTCGGCTTAAAACATTTTGTGAACAGGTTCTGGAGAGATGGTTCAGTGGTTAAGAGCACTTGTTGCTCTTCAATGGGATCCGAGTTAGGTTTCCAGCCCACAAGTCAGGCAGTTCAACAGCCTCTCACTTCAGTTTAGGAGCCCTAAGCCTCTGGCCTCTGTCACTCGCATCCATTTGTACATATTCTTATAGACATACGTGCATACTAATAGTTATACATACCTTTCAGACATACGTACATACCAATAGTTACACATACCCTTTCAGATATACATGCATACTAATAGTTATACATACCCTTTCAGACATACGTACATACCAATAGTTACACATACCCTTACAGACATACATGCATACTAACAATGAAAATAAACTACATATTTAAAAATACTCTGATACCGAGAAAACATAAAAATCTACATTTGTCTGTGTGAAATATCAAGATATTCAAGAAACAGCTAAAAATTCTATGAAAATAAATATACTTCAACTGGGGAAAATGAATTCATGAAGATTAAAACTGTAAGTCAGTAACTGCAAAATATAGTTTTAGTTAATTACAGTCTCGCCTTGATTAAGATCAGAGGTGGAGACATAAGGTGTTAGTAAGGAAAGAAATATAAATTTATTAAGAGTTACATGCAGGGTTTAGATCTATTTTTTAATTGTTTAGATTAGAGGCCATTTCAAAAGTCGACAAAGCTCCGAGCCAGGACCTTCCTGCACAGAGAGTGTGATGGCCTCGCCGCTGGAGGCTCAGTGCCTTAGTGCGAGCAGCCAGGAGCGAGGAGCGTAGGATTTCTTCTCATGGCAGCCCCAGACTGCTAAGAAGATGTAAAAACTGCTTTTGACAACTCCCCTGGAATGACAGTAACTCTATTTCTGGAAAGCAACTGACAGGCGGGAAGCTTTTCCATCAGCTCACGGACAGAAGGCGGAAGCAGGCTTCAATGACTGCCAGCTCGCGGAGGAACCCCGTCCACCGTAGCTCTCGTGGGAGATTAGAACTTGATCCACCTAGTTTAGCCATTTCTGAGAGCGACTGTTCATGGGCAGTGGTCTGACTTGCCAAGCACATGGATGCTGTCTGAGGTGAGGACTTTCTTCCCAACAGCTGAGAGACCCTGGAGCTTTTAGACTGTGGAGCAGGAAAACCCTCACCTGCCCATGGATGAGACCTAAGGGAATCGCGGACTCCTGCCCGGCTCTTCTGAGGGGCTCAAGTTTCTTGTCACTTTTAATTTGGGCTCTTTTTTTCTTATCCCCTAACACAATGTGGTATGTTAAAGAGAAGCCGGGTAGTGGTGGCGCACGCCTTTAATCCCAGCACTGGGCAGGCAGAGACAGAAAGATCTCCATGAGTTCGAGGCCAGCCTGATCTACAAGAGCTAGTTCCAGAGCAAGCTCCAAAGCTACAGTGAAACCCTGTCTCGAAAAACCAACCAACTAACCAAATAAATAAATAAATGGGAATCGAATGAGATGAATACTAATAGACCTAAAATCTTTGTTTTATTTTCAAACCTCATAATTTGAATGTGCTTTGCTTTGAGGATTTTTAAAGAAAATTATGTGTATGTGTGTGTGTGTGTGTGTGTGTGTGTACGTGTGTGTGTGTGCGCGTGTGTGTACATGGGTGTGTGCATGTGAGTGTGGCTCCCCAGAAACAACAAATGATCACATCTGTGATCAGAATCAGAATTCCTCAGAATCAGAATTATAAGGAATTGTAAGCTACCTGGTGTGAATTCTATGATCTGGTCTACTGCAAGAATAGTATGCATTCTTAATTGCTGAGCCGTTTTTCCAGCCCCTGTATATGCTTTAATAGAAGAATATGCTTATAAGAATTCTGATGGCAGATTTTAGCTACTTAGAACAACAACAAAAATTTGTGCTCTTCAATGATCAGCAGAGAGACTATGTCAAGAAATGAGAAAGAACTAAAGGTTAGCATTGACAACAAATCTCAATTAAAAGAAAAAAATTCCAGTAGACATACTGACCTGATACAGCAAGGCTTTGAAAGCCAAGTGTCTTAATCTCATGGCTAAATTTTCCTCTGCTTGTCCATTAAACAACCCCTAGAAAACAAACAAAAATTTCTTCAGTTATTCTTAATTCTCTTTGTATCATTCAGTTTTATTTTCAACTGAAAAGAGAAGACCACGTAAACAAGGAATCCTGCCCAGGGCTGGTGAGTCAATTAAAAGTTTACCCGCATCAGGTACGCAACAAGAGCAGCAGAGCCCAAGATGACTAAGAGCATGGAGTAGAGTTCCGTGTCATGTTTTAATGTGGTTTTACCGTCATTTTCACACATCTGAGTGGGAGCAGAATTTCCATCAGAAGCTTGGAGGAAAGTGCAAACAGCAAGCATAAAATGTCCATAGACGTCAGCATTCCCACAGGAAGTGCGACACACGGAAAAAAACTATGAATTTCTGGGCAAAAAAAGGACTCTGTTTACTTTTAATATGCATGATAAAATTAGTTTACTTTTAATTTCCCTAACTTTGCTCTGTAAATGTATCAAAGAAATAAGTCTACTACTATCATAATATTTTTTCCTTTTTATTATTATTTGAATTTTCCTTCCACCCCTTCCTTCCTCCCTCCTTTTTTCCCCTCCCTGCTTTGGGTATATGTGTGTGAATCGGAGCACTTGTGTCTAGGCCTGAGATCGACTGTGGTAGCGGGTTCTTGCCTTCCACCTTATTGAGGTAGGGCACCTTCTCCGTCTGTAATACACACTGTAGTCTACCCATCCATCAGCTTCCTGTCTTTAGCTCAGATCTTGTCATAGAGTGTTGGTTTACAGATGTGCACTGTATTTGGTTTTTAATGACTGTTCTGGGAATCAGACTCAGGCTGTCAGATTTGTACCTGCTCAGACAGCTTTCTGACCCTGTAATATTTTTTAGTTAGGTCAGCAGTTTAAATTATTATTTCTAATACCTTCTAGTAACTCGCATTTCTTAATATTCATCAAAAGTGAGACATTTGTATGTGCTCCTAAAAGTTGCTCACAAAGTTAGGTATTAGGCACACACATTGCTATGGAATACAGCTGTACATAGGGCTGCTAAAGAAGTGTAGGGTCTAGTGACTTCCTGAACCAAGCCACTCTTCTGGGGCTTTGGCACATTCCCAAACTTACAATCCCTGTTTCTGAGCTGGCTGGTAATAAAAATTTGTCATTGTTTGGACAGGTTGGAAAGAGAGAAGCTGTATCTGTCTTTTATTGCTTCAGTGTTTAGGAATGCTGATATAACACTGCAGTCAGAATTAGTAAACAAAGCGATTTCTTTACAGCTCACCCAGCCAGCAGGACCCAGCTGGACAATGTGAGACTCCTATGGCACATCTCTCAGGCACAGCAGCTGCCTTTCCTACCGTGGTCCTGTCCTAGGGATGACCAAGAGCTCTGTGTCCCGCTTTGCAGATCACTGTGCTCAGCTCTGTTCTCTGACGATGCTTGAGTTGTTAAAGCATAAACAGGTGAGTGTTACTCACAGCGACTAATTTTGTAAAGATGATAGAAAACGTTGCGTTAACAGATCCATTTAGGACATTAGTCAGTGTGCCTGGAACAACAGAGGACCATTCAGACTTGTTTAATTTAAGTATTTTTAATAGTGAAACTTCAGGAAGAATTGTCTATGAATAGAGATGGCTCAGTGGTTAAGAGCATTGCCTGCTCTTCCAAAAGTTCTGAGTTCAATTCCTGACAACCACATGGTGGCTCACAACCATCTGAAATGAGGTCTGGTGCCCTCTTCTGGCCTGCAGACATACACAGAGACAGAATATTGTATACATAATAAATAAATAAATATTAAAAAAATAAATAAAACAAGTTGATTAAGAACAACAACAGTCTGAGATTATTATGGAACCCAGAGAAGCGAGGCAGGACAAAGAGAAGTGTAGAGAGCTGCGTGGAGCCGTGCCTTTAAGATGGTGCCAGCTGCTGCCCTCCGTGAGCCCGAAAGCAAGTGCTCTCTGTGACAAACAACTCCATTTATGGTTATGGCCCTGTGACCTGTTATGATCGTGTGTCGCTTGCGTATGCTTGAGCCTATGGGCGATGTCCACGTGGCACTCCGGGATTGGTGACCATAGGCTATATAAGGGCTGGGAGAGGTCTGCCTGGAGAGAGAAACAAGAGAGAAGCCATTATTCAAGGTCTTGAATAAACTGCCTGAGAGAAGAGCTCTGGTGTCGCATTGTCCTTGTTGGTTGAGGTGAAACTGGGAAGTGGTGGCCCATATGGGGATTTTGTCCACTTCCTCTCCCTGGAGCCCAGAGCTTGCAGCAGTCAGGGGGTGCACCAATAAAGTCCTCGGGTAAATTTGGGGATCTGCAATAAAAGCAGGATTAGTGACCGCATCCAGAGCGGGGATCAGTGACCACGTCAAGAGCGGGGTTAGAGTTTCGCGAAGCAGATAGTCTAGGTAGGGAATCAAAGGCGAAAGCAGCACCGCAGGCTGTAAGAGCACTGCCAAGAGCTGTCAAGCCGGCTTCGTGAGCCGTCAAGCCGACGAGCGGCTTTGCTAGCTGTCAAATCGAAACTGAAAGAAGCAGTTTCGCGAGCTGTCAAAATTGCCAGACACTATTGATACGGTGCTCTGGTTCATCATTTTTACTTGTGTGTGTAGGGAGTATATTGAGAATTCTCAGTGAACATGGGGAATTCTCCTTCACACCCAATTTTTCTGGCTCTTAATGAGCTACTTAGATCTAAGAATCTGAAATAAGAAAAGGCACGTTGGACAGATTTTTAAATGAATGCGATACAGTGGCTCCCTGGTTTGCAGTCTCAGGCAATCTTAATGTAGCATCTTGGGAAAAACTGGGACGTGATCTTGATTTTGCTGTGGAACAGGGTACACTTAAAAAGGGGGTTAGGCCAATTTGGAGACTAGTACTAGGGTGCCTGGAAGATCAAAGGTGTAGTAAAGCTATGGAGCATGGTCAAGCTGCTGTAGAAATATTACAGGAAGAGAGATCTGAGCGAGTGGCGTCAGAAAAAGCCAAGTCAGATACAGGGTCAGACAAGAAGGAAAAGGGAAAGGCACCCAAGAAAGGACAGGCAAGACTATACCCTAGTCTGTCAGAGTTAGAGGATTCAGATACCAGCACCTCGATGGAGTCAGAGGAAGATGAGAAAGAAGAGGAGGCAGATATGACTCCCCTAGAATCTCTTCGACAATCTATGTATCAGATGAAGATCAGGAAAAAGGCCAGGGAGAAACAAAATTCAGGACAAAATAAAGAAGGAGGGCGAAGCTTAACCCCTTTGGCTCCACCTCTGTATCCAGAAGTGGTTGGCGCTGAAGGAGGAATGACGTTCAACCTGAAAGTGTGGAGGGAAGTAAGGACAGGGATGTTGACAGCTTTTCCAGTATTTCAAGACCAGCAAGGTAATAGATATCATGAGCCATTAGATTTCAAAATTGTTAAGGCCTTAGCAAAGTCCGTTCAGGCTTACGGCATTTCTGCTGCCTTTACAATGGCTCAAGTGGAAGCCATACACAGATATGCGATGACTCCAGCAGATTGGACAAACCTTGCAAGGGCTTGTCTTCCCCCTGGTCAATATCTAGATTGGAAAGCATTTTTTATTGAATTTGCCAATGTTCAGGCAGCGAGGAATTTAGCTGCTGGGGATGCTCAAACAGCTTGCGATGCAGATATGCTATTGGGGCAGGGCAGATTTGCTGCTCAACAAATTGGATACCCCCCCCCCCCGGGTGTACAATCAAATTAATACTCTTGCCACTCACGCATGGAAATCTTTGCCCAATAAAGGGGAAGTTATTGGCAATTTAACTAAGATCACACAGGGACCCGTAGAGCCTTTCTCTGATTTTGTAACCAGAATGGTGGAGGCAGCAGGTAAAATATTTGGGGATCCTGATACTGCTATGCCCTTTGTTAAGCAATTAGTGTATGAGCAGTGCAATAAGGAATGTAGGGCTGCAATTAACCCGCATAGGAGCAGAGGGCTAGAGTATTGGATGAAAGCATGCAGAGAGGTTGGAGGTCCTTTGACGAATGCAGGCTTAGCAGCTGCTGTCTTGAGATTAGGAAAAGGCAGAGAAAATGCAGGAGCCTGCTTTGCTTGTGGCCAAACAGGCCATCTAAAGCATAATTGCCCCCAAAGATTTAACCCTTGACAGGGCACCTGAGGGCCACAAACAGGCTGGCAGCTACAACCAGCAACATGTCCTCGATGTAAAAAGGAAAAACACTGGGCAAATGAGTGTAGATCAGTGAAGGACATTAATGGATAGCCCTTCAGTCCCATGTCAAAAAATGGGCAATGGGGCCCCCGCCTTCAGGGCCCACAAATATATGGGGCAATGGAGGAGCAGGAGCAGGAAGTGAGCCACGAGCAGTGGCCAACACTCAGGGACCCCAAGAACCGAGGAGAGCCACTGCAGGTTCAACAGGGTTGGACCTCCGTGCCACCACCAGACTCGTATTAACACCCCAAATGGGAGTCCAGGTAGTGGATTCTAATTTTGCAGGTCCTCTACAGCCAGGTACAGTGGGACTGTTAATTGGAAGATCATCCACGACTCCGAGAGGCCTAAAAGTTCATCCTGGCATAATCGACCCTGATTACACAGGCATTGTAAAGATCATGGTGGAATCGCCAAAAGGCATTACAGCAATTTCCCCAGGTGATAGAATAGCTCAGCTAGTGATACTACCCAGTCTACATGAACAACATCCCACTAAGAAGAAGGACAGAGGAGAGAAAGGATTTGGTTCTTCAGGAACTGACTTGACATTTCTATCCTTAGTTAATGACACAAAAATTACAGGCCTATTGGACACAGGAGCAGATAAGAGCATTATAGCCAGCAAAGACTGGCCAAAAGGATGGCCTATTCAGAATTCGTCTCACACCTTGCAGGGATTAGGATATGCTAATGCCCCTAACATCAGTACTAACCTATTAAACTGGCAAGATTCAGAAGGGCATTCAGGAATCATCCAACCTTATGTTCTTGAGCTCCCCGTATCTCTATGGGGGAGGGACTTAATGAGGGAAATGGGCTATAAATTGAGCAATGAATATTCAGAGAAGGCGCAATCCTTTATGAAAGATATGGGATGTCATCCAGATTTTGGACTTGGAAAATTTCTACAAGGTAGCAAGGATCCTATCACACCACAACCTAGAAAGCCCAGACAGGGGCTGGGTTTTTCCTAGGGGCCACTGAGGAAGGTATTCCCATTTCCTGGAAATCGGACGTGCCATTGTGGGTTCCTCAGTGGTCACTTTCTTCTGAAAAACTGCAAGCACCCCATTGGTTAGTTCAAGAACAACTAGACAATGGACATATAATACCTTCCCTTTCCCCATGGAATACACCCATTTTTGTTATCAAGAAAAAATCTGGAAAATGGAGATTGCTACATGATCTCAGAGCCATCAATGAGCGGATGAATATGATGGGACCAGTTCAACGTGGTCTCCCTTTATTATCTACTCTTCCTACTAATTGGCCAATAATTGTGGTGGATATTAAGGATTGTTTTTTCTCTATACCCTTATGTGGCAAAGACAGTGAACATTTTGCATTTACTTTACTATCTGTGAATCATGAAGAGCCTGACAAAAGATATCAGTGGGTTGTCCTGCCTCAAGGAATGGCCAATAGTCCCACAATGTGCCAGCTATTTGTAGCTGCTGCATTAAGACCTCTGAGGACTCATTTCCCAAGTTTGAAATGCCTCCATTACATGTGCCAAGGAAGAGTCCTTGTTACAAGAAACGTACGGTGTCTTAGTAGACCTGTTGAAGGCAAAAGGGCTACGTATAGCCCCAGAAAAGGTACAACAAGATAAGATGATTAATTATTTGGAATCTAAAGTGACACATGATCAAATTGTTCTGCAAAAGGTGGAAATTAGAAAGGACCATTTACATACTTTGAATGATTTTAAAAAATTATTAGGAGATATAAACTGGATAAGAGGCAGCTTAGGTATGACTAATGATGAATTAAGACCTCTATATGAGATCCTGTCGGGGGATGCAGCTCTGGACTCCCCCAGGTACTTGACTGACGAGGCCAGACAAGCACTTGCATTGGTAGAAGAAAGACTATCCAAGGCATTCTTTAAAAGAGTAAAATCTGTGGAGAATATTGCACTGTGTATTATACCTACAAATTTACAAACTACAGGTATATTATGGCAAGAGGGACCACTGCTGTGGATCCATTCTAAAATTTCCCCTGTTAAATCTATAGAATATTATCCCACTGCTGTGGCTATACTTGCTCAGCAGGGTGTCCTAACCTGTCTACAACATTTTGGATGCCCGCCTAAGATGTTGTTAGTCCCATATGATAATGCTCAAATAAAAGTGTTATGTGCCACCGTCAATGATTGGGCCATCTTGCGTTCCTCTTATTCCGGACACACTGACTGTCATTTTCCTAAGCATCCTCTCCTGTCATTCTTTAAAGAACACCCTGTAATTTTCCCTAAATTAACTGCTACGCAGCCTATACCAGGGGCCAGTGTTATATTTACAGATGGATCCAAAAATGGTTGTGGAATCTACATGGTGGATTCTGCAGAGCCTGTTATACACCAGTTTTCCCCAGGAACCCCCCAACATGTGGAATTAGCTA